CCATTCGCTGCCTCGCTCTCAACTTCATATTCAGCGTGGTATTTGCTACCTGCTATTTTTCTGGTGGTGGTGTCAATTTAGTGATGCGTTATATGTTGGTCTTAACAGTTCACCAGTTTAGGGCATGGTTTTTCTGGAGCCTTTTGGTGAACACTCTCTTTTCCTGTTCTCTTCCTCTCTTTTTCATGCTTAATTTTATTGGTTGCTTATAAAAATTTTACTGCCACTTCAAACCAAATCAATCCTTTAACTCATCCCCCACGAAGAAAGGGCGTGAAATACTCTGGGTTCTCTTACAGAGAGAACTGAGAGGCTGTCAGGGGCTTTGCTTTTCAGCCTTTGTCCCTTAAGGCTTTTGGGAACAGAGATGTTTAAATGGTTCTGAGGGGAGGGGGCAGCAGATTCTCTCTTTTCCATGGGCATAGTCAATTCAGTGAGAATTAATATGTTTAAACTGCAGCAAACCCCATTCAGATGAGGTGTTGGGAAATACTTCCGGGTGTGAGGAGAAGGCAGCCCTGCCAGGAGTGAGCAGGCTCCTTTTTGGAGGTCTCAGAAACAGGTTGAGCGAGTGTCTCTGAGGAATGTGTTGGGTCTGGCTGATCCTGCCTTTGGGCTTGGTGACCTCTCAGGGTCATCTTTGTTTTTCTACTGTTTTATAAATGAAGCCCCCAAGTGAGAACCCAACACCTCTCTTTGCCTGGCTTTCCCTGGGACCTTCCCACATCCTGTGTAGCACCAAATGGGAGGAGACGGTGCTAGGAAGAGAGGAGCAGGGGTGAGTGGAGCATGTCACTTGGGTGGACGAGGTGTGTCACTTGGGCAAAGAGGAATCCTCCTGAGCTGCCCCTGGCCATGTGGTACAGGGTGCTGAGGAAGGCACCTGCACTCATCCTCCAGAGATGATTAGTGTCTGATGAGGGACTGGTCACAGGTAACGAGGGTGTCACTGCTCCGGCTGAGGTCCCTGGGCAGCTGCCTACATGGGAAGGGTTTCTGCTGGCAGGGATCTGCATGGCTGTTTCCCCCAGCCTCCTGCCTTGCCCTTGGTGGGTGCAGTTGTGCCCTGGCAGGAATGCCTGAGGCAAAGGACGCTTGCTTGGTCAGGGAGGGTGGGTGTCCCAGAGGGATGAGGAGAAGACCACGATGCCCAATCTTAATAGATAACCAAAGGGAAGGCTTTGGTGCATCCATCAGCAAGTCTTCTCCAGATTTACCAACTGGAACAGCTGCCAGCATTTTATATGTGCTCTGACGCTCATTTGGGGCTGCAGCAGCTTAGCTTGTTGCTTTTATCCCCAGTGTTTGTCATTAATGCTGTGATCAGGCCCTGCAATCCTTGTCACAGAGGGGTTGCTCCATGCTCAGCACACAGGTCTGTCACACACTGCCCCAGCAATGTCACAGCACCCCAAGACATTCCCACCCAGGGTTGGACACACCTCCAAGCAGCACTGGTAGCCTAGGCTCCTCAGGGAGCAGCCCGGCGAAGGCTGGGTAACGCCGGCAGGAGGGTTATCTCTGCAGTATTGGAAGGATCACGAGAGACACTCTTTGCATTTCCTGTTTTGTGTTTTTTTCTGCCATTATTAAAATGATATATTAACCAAAAGCCGGAGACCTCCCAGTCCAGCAAACAGTATAAAAGTAACGACATTGCTTGGTAAAGCCAGTGGGATCATGGGCACTCCAATGCTGTGTTGGTCTTGGTGGGGCAGTGCCTGCTGTTACTTGTGTGAAGCACAGGGTTACTTGGGAGCCTTCTCTTAGTGCTCCCAGGGCATAACAGATTGAATTGTTTCCCTGGAAACCTGAATTTCTAGAGTTAATGGTGCTTGGCTTGGTACGATCGCACCCTCTCCAGTGTCTTTGAGTCTGAAATCTAAGTTCTATAGCACTATGAGATTTTTCTTCAAATATCAGTATGGATGAGAGAGGGAGTCCCCAAGAGGAAGGTGGATGGGGGACTGCCAGTCAAAGGCACGCAGCAGTTCATTGATGCCCAGCTACTCTGTGCAGTGTTTAAAGTGTAACAGGTTATGTCTTAGCTCGTGCTCATGGTGCCATCTCTTACACATAGGTCTCCAAGTTCCTGAGGTAGTGAGAGCCTGGGCTTTTTCTTTACTCCCTTGTGACTGTAGGTGTTCCCTGCCTCAAAACCTGGGCAATTTGCAAATGTCTGTGGTCGTGGGTATGTTGGGGTTATTTAATCCTCACCATTTTAACTCACTTTTAAGAGCTCTTGTTTTGCAGCCCAGGACTTAGTGCTACAACAAATCACAGAATCACAGAACAGTTTGGGTTGGAAGGGGCCTTCAAAGCTCATCTGCTCCAACCCCCCTGCAATGAGCAAAATGTAACGCTGTGATTTTGTAGTGCCTCCTGATCTCCCAGTGCCAGGCTGCTTGCACCTTTGGAACTGGTGCCAGGTTGTGCCATAGCACAGGCTGCGCAAACCCACCCACAGTCTGCCAGCAGCATGGCTGTGCCCTGCATCGTTTGATGGGTACAACCATTAAAGATTGCCCGCTTGAAGGGGCAATCTCTGCAATTTGCAGCGCCGGATACCTTGGTCCTGTGGGTCAGTGCAGGCAGCAGCCAGTATGGGGCTGCTTGGGACTGGGTAATGAAGCTGTGGTCTCTGCAGGGGCCTCCACTGAGCCCTGGCCAGGCCGCAGGGGCACCTTGGCCAGACAGGGGCAGAGAGGGGGCCCAGAGGGCAGGACCCGGCTGAGAACCCCACTCTGGCTGCAGCCCTAGGGCTTTGCTGGGGGTGTTGGGGTGAAGACCAGCATCCCACATCCCTGGGGCAGTGGCTCTGGGCTGGTATAGGGATGCAGGGCAGGATGCTCCAACCTGCACAGGACCAGCTCTGGCATGCAGCCCCAGTTAACTTTAGCATTGTCCACCCTGGCCTCTGGCTGCAGCAGCTCCAACAGGCAGAGCTCTCTCTCTGTGTGCCCAGCAAGGACACTTTGCATCTCTGAGTGAGCATAGGTGCTGCTCGTCTGCTTCAGCTTTTGAAGGCTTCCATATAGATGGCTACATCTGAGTGAATTGCCTACACTCCATTGTTAGCAGCAAGAAATGGGCATGGTGCATCTCCTCCTGAAGGATGTGACTAAAAACAGCCTGGGTGAGTCATCCTCCTTGAAGGACTTGTTCTTGCGACCCACTCAGACATTAAAAGGTGACATCAGCATGTCTGCAGTTAGGTGAAATAAGCCCTGTTTTCCCTCTCCCCCACAGCTGGATTTCTGCAGTAAGCAGCTGGCAGAGGGGAGGAAACATGATCTGTCTCTTTCTGAGCCTGCCCAGCTCCTGCCAGCCCTGTGCCTCTGTGTGCCCTGGCTCCATGCTGAGGAGCAGCCTCAGCAGCCTGAGCAAGGGCCCAACACAGCCTCACAGCCCCTGGGACAGCAGCGGCGAGTGTGGATGGAGGTCGAGGAGTGTCCTTGGGCTGCTCTGGCAGTTCCTTCCCCTGGTTTTAAATCTGCCAAGACAATAGCCTTTTTTGCGTAACACTGGGATGCTGTTGCAGGATTACATGCAGGGTGGGCAAGCCTTCTGGGCATGCTTCTGGATGGACACCGGACATAAAGCCTGCCTTAATCCTCCTGATTTATGATGTTGAGCTTTCTTGCTTGTTTCTCACACTTCCGTGCATCAAAGCAGTAACAACAGCTGTCCAGCAGCCTCAGTATTTACAGGCTTTTCTGTACCATAACCTGTGTGCTTCATACACCACAACATAGTCACAGAGCAGGAAGCCAGGTAACTGTGTTAAGAAGAGCTGGGGAGGCCTCATACAAGGTGATGGGACCCCCCAGGAGGGAGCCAACATCTGATATGCAGTTTGCTTCAACATCCTGCCATGCAGCACCAACACTGCCATCCAACGCGCCATCCTTCCACCGCTGGACTGAAGAATCAGAGGCAGTTGCTCACTCTTCCAGACATGGACCAGAGCAGTGCTCAGTGGACGTCGTAATGAGGGTGAATGCACAGGAATGAGGTGCAGCCAAGGGCAGTGGTGCTGCCCCTCTGAGCTCTGCTCCACACCGGGACAGGCTCACCACAAGGGGCCTTGACCACCAAAACCCCAACTGCCTGCCTCCAACAGGAGTGAGCCCCTCAGCTCGTGTCCAAGTGACATACTGGGGCACCATATCCCTTCCTGCAGGGTGCTCTGCAGGGTGGGTGCGCCCAGACCTGGTGCCTTGACCCCGTCTTGTCTCAGCTTCCCAGCAGTTGGGCTCAACCTGATGAGCATTTCTCCAGGACTCACTGGGGATATGTTTACTGGAATCTTTTCTTCTCCCTTCTCATTCCTGGTACTTCTCTACCTGCTTTCATTTTTTTCACTCCTTCCCTTGGCTTGTCTGCAAGTTTATCTTCAAGTTGTCGAGTTTGGTGGCTGAGAAACAAGGAGTGCTGAAGCTTTGAAGGCAACAGAAGTTTGCTTTTGTTGTGGTCCCTTCACCTTGCCCAGGCCCTGGCAGGGAGCATGCTGGCTGCCAGCAGGGCTTGTGGTCCAAGGTTGGTGGCAGTCCTTGCAGCAGCAAGACCTGTGCTATCCGGATGCTCCATCCCAGAAGGCAAGGACTGTGCTCTCCTGGGCTGCTCTAGCTCTGAATATCTGTGACTGGGGCAAAGCCAGACACAAGTGCAGGCCAGGTTAGAAACTGCACCTTTCTCTGTGACATGGAAGTTGGAACTAGATGATCTTTAAGATCCTGTCCAATCCAAAACATTTTTAGGATTCTATGACATTGTCCTGGTGGACCAAAACTTGGACAGTGACTTGCTTTTTTGTGGCATTCAGAGCCTCAGTGACTCTTAGACAGGGCCATGGGATGCAGCAGCAGTGGTGATGCCCACTACAGGGGTGTCCTGCACCCTCTGGGCAGGTAGCTATGGTACAGTGAGTGACGGGCTTGAGCCACCCTTTGCAGTGCTAAGCCCCAAGGTCTGAGTGTCCCTTTGCTTGTGTCCCTCAGTCCCACCCGCTGTCCCTGTGCAACACCAGCGAGGATGAGCACACCGAATCGGGATTCATCACCATTGTCAAGCTTGAACAGCCGGATCGGGATCCCAACCCCTGCCTGTCGCTGGCAAACAAGGTAGGTACAAATGTGGGAACGGAAACCCGTGGTGCAGGAAAGAGTAAGAGCAGGAGGGTAGGAAAGAGCTGTTGGAAGGTGGAGAAAAGGACAAGGATAGAGATCCTTGGCAGGGGGGGCGCTCTGGGAGAGATGCTGTGGGAGCCATCCCCAATACCCGTCCCTCTTTATCTTTTGGACTGCCTGGCTTTGTAAAAGCTGTGGAGTTTTCCTTAACCTGACTGCTCTAGGATGCTCAGACCTGACCCCAGCATCCCAGCTGCCTGGCAGCCTTGCGCCCCTCCTCTTTTGCAGTCTCGCACTGCTTGCTTGTCTGTTGAGGGGATTTGTGCTTCTTGGTGTCCTCTGACCTGTGGGAAAACCTGGTCACAGAAGACACCTTCTGTAGCTCTGTCTTCAAAACCAGTACTGTGATACTTCACTGGATGAGGCATGTAAAGAATCAGCACTGAGCAATCGGGCCAAAAGCAAACGAGATGAACTAGTGGTGGGATGTGACTTGTTAACAACATGGGCAACCATCTGCCCTGCAAAGGCATGGGAGATCTCAGAGGTCTTCAGATCAGGTCTCCTGTGAAAGAGGTACCTCAGTGACACAGCAGTCACTGTGTCGAAAGCTGAGGTCACTGGTGCAATTCTCTGGTAATAAGGAAGTCAGGTAGGAACGAGGGTCATTTTTTAAGCCTTAAAATCTTTGTGTCTCTGATAAAGTTGTGTGGATAAGGCTAGCATTAGCTTTTACTTGTTACTGTCTCTGTACTAAATGTTGTGTTATTTTCCACCAGCACTGTACAAACATGAAAAAAAACCCAACTTGCATAGCTCTTCTTGGCTTTATCTGGATGCATTCAGGTGATCCTGCTCCTGGTGTCTGCCTTCTGCTGGTAGTGATGTGCTGGGGATGGGGACAGGGTCCTTTTCCATCCTCCCTGCAGCAGGGCTGAACAGGGCAGGTGGAACTCACTCCAAGCAGTTGCTCCTGCACAGCAGTTTGGGGGTTTTTTAGTTGGTTTCTTTTTTTTTTTTTTTTTTTTATGCAGAGGTTGTGGCTACAAAAGCAAGGGAAGGGATGTGATGCTGCTATGGGTAGGCCACCTCGAGGCTGCTTCCCCCATCTGCATGGCAGACAGCAGTGCCTATCCCTTTCTGGACCAGGGTGGAAGCCCAAGTTTGGCTTGCTGCTGCTCTGGAACTGATACCAGCTGTCAGCACAACCAGTGTGCCGGAGTTAGGGAACTGCTGCCAGTTACCCAGACCTGGAAATCAGCCTGGTCCCACTGTGGGTGTAAGTGCACGAGGATGAGGAGTTTGAAGTGTGAACCCAGGGGCTTCCAGTGTGTCTTGTGACAGGAATGAGAGCAAGGTGTCCTTAGGGAGCACAGCTGGGTACTCCAGCTGTCCCAGGTCCATCTAGATGTGACCATCACATTATAATGGTCTCATCTCGCAGGGGAGGGTGCTGGGGTTGGCAGCAGCAACAGCTGGTTTGGTCAGTGCAAGTGCTGTGGAGGGTCTTGAACAGAAGGAAGGAGCAGCATCCAGCGCTCATCTTCCACTTGAGAACCTTAAAGGTTAGAAGCTGTTATGCTAGTTTTGACCTTTATCTTTGAGTTGCTAATCATGGTGCAGGAAGTACCAGAACGTTACTGAGGCCAGGGACCAGAGAATCACAGAATCACAGACTGGTTTGGGTTGGAAGGGACCTCAAAGCTCTTCCAGTTCCAATCCCCTGCCACGGGCAGGGACCCCTTCCACTAGAGCAGCTTGCTCCAAGCCCCTGTGTCCAACCTGGCCTTGAACACTGCCAGGGATGGGGCAGCCGCAGCTTCTCTGGGCACCCTGCACTAGGGTCAGCTGAGAAAGGTCAGCACAGGGAGGACAAGTCATGGTGCATTGCTGCACTGTGGTCATCCTCACTAGCCTTGATCCCTTCTCCAGGACCATGAACCCACACAAAGAAAATAAACCCCTCAGTTCATTGCCATGGTACAGTGACAGTTCACTGGCCTTTAGTCATCATTGCTTTATTACCAGAGCCAAATCCAGCAATGGATTTTGAGGTCCAACTAGGCATGACATCAGATGCCATCCTGCCTGTAGTTACTATATCCGACTCCAAGACCTCACCCAGGGAGGCTCACAGCTCTTCTCCCTGCCAGTGGTCACATTCTGGTCTAGTGGAAGGTGTCCCTGACCATGGCAGGGGTATTGGAGCTGGATGATCTTTAGGGCTCCTTCCAACCTAAACCATTCTGTGGTTCTATGAAACAGGACTAGGTTAGCCATGAAATACAGGCAGATGCTTCTTAAGCTGGCCACATCCCTGGGCCCTGCCTTGTACCTTGGTTCCTCCATCCCCCTGCAGTTGCTGTCTGGATGCTTCTCCATCCTCCCGAAGCCAAGCTCCTTTCCTTCAACATCATACAGATCTCTTCCTCAGAATCCCTGGACAGCACTTCTCCTCAGGAGCAGGGATGAAGCTGTAGGATGTGGCTGGTGCTCGTTAGAGCCTTGTTTTCCTGACGTGTTTTTGCGGTGGAGCTTTGCATATTGAATTGCAGTGCTGTATTGATGATAAAAATAGCCATGTGAAAAGTGTTATCATAACCTCTGCTTTAGCTGTCACCCAGCCAAGCAGTGCTGCGTCCAGCCCAGCAGGAGAACTCCACCTGATCACACTTCAAAGTGATTTATTTTTCTTTCTGGTGCATAGTTTGTAATTTTGGGGGTGTGTGAATTTTTTCCCTGAGCAAACCATTGGTTGCCAGTCTGATTGACAGGCTACTGCAACCTCCTCAGTCACCCTCGAAATACACGTTTGTACCAAAAGTGTTTCAGTCCTCAGAAAGGGAGGGCAGCTCTGCATGTGGCTGGAGAGAACTGATGAAAGGCAGCAAGCACTCAGAAAACTGTTGCATTAAGCAGGCTTGATAGCTTGAACAAAAGCTGTGTCCTTTGCAGCAGGAGTCAGAAGGATGTTGGGAAGAGTCAGTTGTCCATTCTCAGTTGTTCTTTTTCCTATTGTTGGTGTCTTTAGTAGGATCAAATCTTTGTAGAGCTGTTCACTGTTCATCAAAGCTTGACTGGCTCCAGTGGGTGTAAGTCAATATCTGAAAGTGCTGTTTCTTCTTCAGGGCTCACAAACACCGAGGCTTCTTTGATCCCAGGCAGGACCCCAGTCTCTGGTCCCTGCCCCTAGCCTGTGGTCCCACTTCTCCAGCTTCCCCATCTGGTATACCCAAGAGTGTCAAATCCATTCAGTGACTCAGAGCCTTCAGCCTGTCCTCCCTGCTCTTCCTGACCATCTGCAGCTCCATGCACATCCCCATCCCTGTCCCCAGACTGAGGCACCCATCTTCTCCCTGATGAGGCACGTGGAGGTGACCAGCACCTGCGAGTGAGGGATGGAGCTGAACCCACTCCACCGCTGCTGGGAATGCCCCTTCCCTCCGCTCCGCTGGTGCCCTGTGTTTGATACCGCAGCTGGGAAGCGGCGGCACTGACCTCTGGCCCCAAGCTGGGGTTTGGCAATGTTGAGGCTGAGCTGCGGCAGCGGCTCCGGCAGCTCCTGTTTGCACAGGCGCTCAGGGACGTGCAGATCAAAGGGCTCCGCATGAGTAAGAGTGGCCCAGCCCTGCTTTCTGTTCACGTTCCCATCTCCAAGGGCTGTCTTTGCCTGCCTGGAGGGCTCAAAGGGCTTGGTGGGAGGACGTGGGTGACCCCACAAGGTCCTCCAGGCGCTGTGCTTTGACCTCACCAGGGTGGCATGTATATTCATTTGGGTGGGTCTCAACGCTGTTCTCAGAACACAGCAGCCGGTGGGCTGTGAAAAGCCACTCCGTTCCTAATCCTAGATCAGACCCACAGTCCAGGCATTGCCTGAGCTTCTCCCTGGTACCTGTGGGGGACAGGGACTGGGGAGAACAATATGTGTGGGAGTCAAGCCCATAGACAGCCCATGGTTGATGCAGCTATGATGAGCAGTGGGGACCTGAAGAGGTTCCTGCTGTCCTGGGATGCGAGGGATGCACAGGGGTCAACAGGGCTAATGGGGCTGCAGATCCCTCCCCAGCAAATCCAACTCTGAAGCAAAGGGGACAGACAGCTGGGGAATTTGGTGTGCACTGCAAGCCCACCAAGTAATTTGCCTCCACAACTACAGGGGGAAACTGTCCATGAGCTTCAGGGCTGTAGCAGGAGCAGGCACTGCAGCTCGACACAAGTACAGAAACCAGGGTATAAAGTGTTTTCTCAATCTAAGCAGCAGGTAGGTGCTTCTTTCCCCCATGAAGAGACGGGGAGGCAGATACATATCCAAATGGTAGATGTTAATGCAGAGGTACAAATGTCCACTGAAGCTTCTGTTCTTTTGGACAGGCAAAGCTGGCGGGGGAGCGTGGAGCTCGTGCGATCCTTTTTGACATTACCGATGATGAAAGTGCTGCTGATCAGGTACAAACTCCACTGATAATAACAGCTAAACCACAGTGCCTCTGTCCCAACCCAAAATGAGCCCGAGTCAGGACCTACCAGCCACTGACATGCAGTGGGAGGTTCCAGGAGGACACTGCAGGCTGTTTCGGATGTTAGCTGTAAGAGCTCATCCATGCACAGACAGGGCTTTACTCTTTCACTCACTCCATAGCACATCCAGGTGTCCCCAGAGCACATGCCAGCAGCTTGCGAACAGCATCTTGCTGCTCTTGAAGGACATTGTCTGGTCAATTGAGCTTTTCTGCCAGGAGCTGGATGCTTCCTCTTGATAAGTCACAGATTACCTATCCCAGCTAGTACAGCCAGCCCTGGTGTACCATAGGGGAAAGGTGATTTCTGAAATGTTCAAGCCAAAGTCACGGCCACCCTGCTGTGCTGGTGGTGATGCTCTTACTGCAAGCTTAACATTAGTTTAAAGACCTCCAGAGGTCTCTTCCACCAACACTGCTGTCATCTCTGGAAAGAAATAGGTTCCAACCTCGAAATAATCAAGGGATGATGAAAAGCATCCAGCACTAGATAAGAGGACAGGTAGGGGAGCTGATGTTTGATCTTATCCAACCTCTGGGCTGACTCCTGCTCACTGGATTAATCTGTTGTCATTCTTTTGTATACTTAGAACTAAAATTCTGATGCCAGAGAAATACAACAGTGAGTGCAGGTGAGGGGATGCTGAGATTGCTCAGTAAGGGTATGGGAAGTGGCCTGTGTCAGATGGACACCCTCACTCAGTCAGTGTGGAGCAGAGGGGAGACTGAGGCACTGGCTGAGCCAGCCCATGCCAGGCTGTCTGGACCATGGTGGAAAGCTGCTGGTATGGTCAGAAACACACTGAACAGTGACCAGTTATGCACGTAGGAGGCACCACTGGAGGTTATTAAGAAAACCTTGCTGAAAAGCTGCTGGAAGAAGAAGAGCTTCCATCTGGTTTCATCAGAGAGGAGAAAGGCAAGTTGCGGGGGTCAGTTGGTATCTAAAGTGTGTGCAAGAAGCATCAGGAGGAACCAGACGTGCCTTGGGAGCTGGGATAGTCCTTGCTTTGGGCTGTTCTGGACCACCTCTTACTCTGTTTGTTTCTTTACAGCTGAGAAAGCCCAGAGGTCTGAGTCAGCCTGTGGTTCTGATCAGAGGTCACGATGCTGAGCTTCTCATGGGTGTCGTGAACAAGAACAGAGAGGCCCATGTGAAGATAGAGGTCAAGGAGCCACCATCTTGGGTGAGAAACACACCATTCCCACTGCCTTCTGTATCCTCCCTCCCAAGCTGCTGTGCCATGGAATAGGACTTCCCCAGAGATGCTGAGCTTTCCTCCCCAGGGACAGAGATCACAGCCTTTTGCAGTAGCTGCCTGTCTGCAGCATTCAGATGGCATGCCACAAATAAAGGCTCAGAAGTGCTTTCAGCTTCTTCTCTTCCCTTACTTTAATTGTCATGAGTGAGGTGAGGGGGTTCTCTGTCTCTTCAGGTGAGACCAAGGCTTGATTTTTTCATCTTGTGCTACCTTTAGACCGTGACCTCTAGAGAGGTGTGATGCTGCAAGACAGAGAAATTCCATTCCTGCTGGAATGCACAGAAAAGACTGAAACCTTTTTCTTTTACCTGTAAAGAGCATATGAGACAGAGCTTGGCCAGGGATCATGTATTCAAAGGCTGATGGTCAGGAAGAGACAGGGATTCCCCTGCCTAGCTTCTGACTCCCACCCCTGCCGCACACGAGTAATTTCTTCCTGTTCTGTCCCACAGCCAGACTACGACGTGTGGATCCTCCTCACGGTGGTCAGCACCGTGGTCGTTATCATCTTAATTTTTGTGGTGCGCACAAAGTGCCAACTGAACAGGACTCAGGTAGGGACCTCATGGAGCAGCTGTGTTTGAGCCAATGGAAACACAGGAAAGGCAAGAATGGGCACAGTGTGGGAGGGGAAATACACCTCTGTGTGAACTGAAGATGAGGCCACATGAAGCAGGAGCAGCCCAGGAATGAGAAGAGTGAACCTGAGATGGGCTGGCTGCTTTCCTTGTGCGGTAGCCTTGCTTTCCTCCTGCTGCCCCACCAGCACTGCAGCCTGCAGTCCCAGAACCTTTCAGAGCTTGGCCCAGCACCCAAAGCTGCAGAGCTGGCCCTCTAGCTCTCGATTTTAACAGTATTGTCTGTACAGGTAGAGAGCAGAAGACTTAGTATTTTTAATAGAAACTAACAAATTAAATAATTGTCTTTTCAGAGTCAGATGTATTTCCAGATTTGACAATACCCTGTTGGTCCTATAGAAGGACAAGCCTTTGGGGCTCAAAAATTCAGCACCGCTGATTTTGACTGTCCATGGCCAGATGTCTCCTGCTGGTGACAAAGCCTACTCTGGCTAAGTCAGGTTAGACAGAAAGTCACCTCTGGAAAAACGATTATCACCCCCAAATTCCTGATGATGCCATTTTGCAAACGGAAGGGCAGTGGGAAGCAGGGCAGTGTGGGGCTGAGCCTCTCCTTCACACCTCCTCTCTCCGGTGCAGGACTCCCTGCAGCAGCAGACCATGCAGGCCATCGGGCAGCTGGCCACGCGTAAGTTCCAGGCGAGGTGCCGGCCAGCAGCACGGTGGGACTCGGCCAGTACCTGCAGCTCAGCCCCGGTCTGTGCCATCTGCCTGGAGGAGTTCAGCGAAGGCCAGGTAGGCTGCAGGCATGGCTGCTGCTGAGCCACAGCACTGAGCAGGCTGGCTGCAGGCATGTGGGAGCTGCGGCGGGGGCTGAGCAGTGTGGTAGGGGCAGGAGGCACTTGGAATGTTTCCTTCAGCAGCTCCTGGAGGCTGGGGCAGGATGGGCATCAGAGGAGTTTTGCCAGCGCCTTGGCCAAAACAGCCCTGCCCCTTTTGAAGTCACTTGCCTGCAGACTCAGGCTTCTCGAAGACAGTTCTCCAGCTGTTGCTGTAGGGTAAAATGAGGTGCTGAGGCGCTGGCACAGGGTGCCCAGAGAAGCTGTGGCTGCCCCATCCCTGGCAGTGTTCAAGGCCAGGTTGGACGAGGCCTGGGGCAAGCTGCTCCAGTGGAAGGGGTCCCTGCCTGTGGCAGGGGGTTGGGACTGGATGAGATTTAAGGTCCCTTGCAACCCAAACTAGTCTGTGATTCTATGATTCTATGAAAATGCCCATATACATCCATATTGCAGCAGCGGGGCAGTCCCCCTGCTATTCCCAAGGGCAGCCACCTCTCTGGAGGTGGCTGGATGCAGTGCTGGATGCAGTGAGCAGAACCAGAACTGCCAGGCTGCTGCACAGCCTCCTCCATGCAAAGCTGGGCTGAAGCCCGCTCACAGTTAGCCATCTTTCTATCCTACAGAGCTCACTTCCACCAAGAGGAACCCATCCAGCCCTTGGGACATGGTTCTCCTTGCTCACACTCCTCTTCCTCTTTCCACCTCTCTAGGACCTGAGGATCATCTCGTGCTCCCACGAGTTTCACCGGGAGTGCGTTGACCCCTGGCTGCAGCAGCACCACACATGTCCACTTTGCATGTTCAATATCCTTGGTAGGGCTCAGACACAGCAGGGTTGTGCCCAAAGGGTCCATATACTCTTGGGTGATGCACATGGTGCATCAGCAGGAGCACTTGTGGGTGTATAGGGTGGTGGGTGCATGGAGAGGGGTCCCTGTGCATGTGAACACCGCCAGTGTACAGGGCTTGGGCTGGGACCTGCACTGAGAGGAGGAGGTTTCAGTCCTGGGACTTGTGGGAAAGGGAGGTGGGATCTGAGCATCAGGGCAGCAGGGCAGGTGCTGTGTGTGCAGGACCATCAAGGCAGTTTGGTGGTGGCAGTGAGGGGTTGCAGGGCATGGTGGGATGTGGGGTTGCAGTGAAGGCTCGCTGATGCAGGGGCTACTGCAGCTGGGCTGTGAGACTTGTGCTGGATGCTCCCTTCTCTCTCCACAGCCAGAGACTCGGTGGACCAGGCCACGGCTGCTGGCTCCAGGATGGCCCCACAGGACATGGAACCCGGACGGCGACTCCACCTCTTCCGACAGCACCCAGGACATGCCCTTTACCACCTCCCACATGCTTATCCTCAGAGGAACCTCAGGAACTTTCCCCCGGAGCAAGCCCATGGCAACCCCTTCTTTCACTCTCTGGAGCTCTCCCAGTTGGATTTTGGCACTATCCACTACATGCCTTACAGGCCAGCCACCTCCCTGCTTGCCTGTGGCCACTCTTCTCCTCTGGCCCCGGGCTTGCTGGGCCAGCAGCATCCCAACCCCTCGGCATGCGGGCAGACGCTGCCATCCCACAGGACTTGTTCTCTCCAGCCCCAGCCCCAGCCCCCCTGCCTGGGGCTCAAGGCAGCCCTGGTGCAGAAGCAGCACCGGGCGCCTGCCCTTCGCCGGGGGGTTGCCCACGGGCACCAGCACAACAGCAGTGGCTCTGGAGAAAGCTATCTCACGGAGCACAGCGGGTACCTGGCAGATGGGCCAGGCAGTGACTCCAGCTCGGGGCCTTGCCACGGTTCCTCCAGTGACTCCATGTTGAACTGCACAGATGTCAGTCTGCAGGGCATCCATGGCAGCTGCTCCACTTTCCGCAGCTCCCTCAGCAGCGATTACGACCCCTTTGTGTACTGCAGCTCAGAGGGCCCTGCCACAGACAATGGCCAGGAGCAGCCGCTGCCACCAAGGGACATGCGGCCCAGGTCCTTGGACTTGATGGTGCCTGGGGGTGCTGGTCCGGCGAAGCCCCAGGTGCTCAGCCACGTCCACTACCACCACCACCAGCACCACCACTACAGAAGAAATGCGGAGTGTACCCCGGGGTGGGCAGGGCAAGGGCCTGGGCAGCGCAAATCCCGGTACACAGGGGCCAAGGTTGGCTTCCACAGTGCTCGGACACAAAAGAGAACTGAGAAAAGCTATCACTGTCAGCAGCCTCCAGACAGCAGCACTGTGCTGCAGGAAGCAGCTCTGGCGGGACAGCCAGCCTGTTCCCAGCAAGGCCGGGAGTCCCCTCATATCCCTTCCGCTTCTCCAAGCAGGTTGGACTTCAGTAAAGATGCCAAAAGACAATTGGAAGCATCTGGGACATCCCCTGTCCCACTGCCCCCAAAACACAGCTCACAGAGCCGTCACCACCGAAGGAAAAGAAAATGTCCCCTGGAGCCCAGCCCCGCTCTTCTGCCCGAGGACTCAGCCTTGCCCAAAGCTTGCGATGCTCATGTTCCTCACAGACATCCTGCTGGCTACTGCTGCTCACCTGAAGCCCAGCCCCTGATCCCCACAAGCGCTCCCCTGTCCTGCAGCTCAGGCTCTCGGCCGCTCTGGAAGTGTTTAGTGCCGCAGTCTGGCTCAGAGCTGAAAAAGCAGGAGGAGGGGTTGTCAGGATGGGAGGGAAACCACACGGTTCCTGCTGATTTCTCAGGGACAGGCACCCCCAGACACAGTCTGAGTCTTCAACTTCACTGCCCGTCTCAGCAGGGTAGTCAGGGTAAGTCTGCTGTTGGCCTCTTCTTGCAGCAAGCAAGTGAATGAGGGTGGTTTGCTGAAGGTACTCTGGCTGCCAGTAAACCTGATACCTTCATGGTGGGCTTTCCTACAGGACCACTGACAACAGAAGCGTTTCAGAGGTCACCTGTCTGAAAATCATGGCCTGAATGATTAGCAAGGCTGTTAATGAGGGCACCAAACCCTGCAGTTTCATCCTAAAATAATACACATGAGGAATAATGTGGCTATTTTGAACTAAGCATCTCTAGCAGCTGGAATATCTCCCAAATGAAGGGGTGGGAGCATGTTTCTCAGTGTCCTTACATTAGTCTGGATGTCTCACTGGCACAGTCAAGGCTTATTGTGCTCTAGCTGTTTTAGCCAACCCTCGCTAACTGAATCAATAAGGAAGTGTGCATTGCCAGTGGTAGTAGGAAAACAGACTAAATGAGTTTATGGATTTGCACATGCCTCACCTCTCACCTGCCTCTGTTGTGTGGGAGTTGCTTTTTAGCATCGTTTGGAAATCGGACATAATTAAAGTTTGGCCCTTTGCCTAACTGCTGCACATCTCTGAGAGGGGAAATGCATTTGAGACCAGGCTCTTTCAAAGAGCCTGAGTTTAGCTCCCAGGTCTTGCTCTCTCATGCTGCTCTGAACACAGCAACCTGCGAGTCAGCATGGGCAGGTTCTGGCTGCAAGCAGAGCCTGGCTCCTTTCCTCACCCTGCCACTGACTCATTGTAGCTCCTCGGGCAAATCGTTTTGATTTAGGTACCAAATACAGATCGAGCTGCCTAATTTCTGTTAAAATGCTGGCCTTAAATTCATGACTCACTGTGCCCATTGTGCCACGCAGATAATAACTTCCTCCCCATGCTCGTCTATCCAGCCCTCCACCACACCCAGGCTCCTGGTGCTGGAGCGCCTGTGAGAAGGCAGCAGAGAACGGGGGAGGCTGGATGGAGCCCTGTCCTGGCTGCCTGCAGCACTCCGCGCTCCCAGACTCCCAGGAACAGAGGTTTTTTCCCAGGCACAGAAGTGCCTGACACTGCAGATGAGTTCTTCAAAGAGCCTGGAGGGATGCTGCCATTTGGAGAGCTAAGGAGGCAGCAGTTTAGAGGTATCTCCCTGGTTTGCAGGTAGCTCTGAGTACTGATGTCCCCTGAGTTGCAGACAGTGGGCAGTGATATTGCCAGGACACAGCCCTCCCAGGGTCACAGCAAGCGACCTCCACATGGAGAGAGCCCCTGGCATGAGGGGCAGGCTGCTCAGGAGTTGCTTTGAGCTCCCATTTAAAAATAAAACTGGGAGGACTCCCCAGGCCACCAGAGCTGGAGTCTCCACCTCACACAGGGTGCGGGGTGCTGCAGTGTCCAAGGCATGGCAAAGGTCCCTGGTATGATGGCTCCACCTCTTTGTAGAGAACCCCAGTGGCCCAGATGTCCCCATCTCCTGATGGCATGGTAGGGAAAAGCTCTCTTGGCATCCACCCAGAGCCAGTGCTAGTGTGCAAGCACACACAGCCTTCATTCCCTCCCTTTTCCAGGAGCTAGAAGGACATTGCAAGTGTGTTGGAAAGGACATTGCAACTCTGAGTCTATTTGATTGCAGTAGCTTCTGTGAATGCTTTCAGGACCAGCCAGAGAATCAGAATCTCCTTGTAAGATTGAGAAAGGAAGACACAGAAAGGAAGGATTTAACTTTATTAGGAACCGAGGACAGTTGAAGAGAGCAGGAGCAGAGCTTATGCAGAAAAGCTGTCAAGCTGAAAACACTTTGGTTGACATAACACAACCTCAGAGTTGCTGGATGTAAATCAATAGAGAACAAGCTAAAAGAGCAAAAAACCATCTCAGTAGACAGTCCCATGTAAGCAGGACACAAAAATAGACAAGGAGACCAAGAAGAAATGCATAAATACATGCCTCTAGATAAATGTTGTAAGGCTAAAAATGTAAGTAGATGAATTAGAAAGCCCAGCTTTAAAGTAAAATTTTGACATAAACCTCTTAGAAACCCAGCTTAAAACAAACAGTGGGCACCTGTAATTTCCAGGTGAAATTACAGAGAAGAATGTGTCTCTTCTGGTGGCATGGGAGGGACACTGTGTTAAGGAGAGTGTAAAGTCCAATGACAGGTGACACAAAAACCCCCAATTGTGCCTAAGTAAGAGAAGTATGATGTTAGGGTTCTAATGCATTGCGCTAGCACAGGCTGCAAAAAAGGATCCTACATATACATGAGACCCTTTTTCAAATAGTACTAAAAGAAGCAGTCAAAAGAGTAAGATGATTTTGGGCACAAGGATCACTTAAAGCCCCAGAAAAGGACTGGCCAAGCAATAGAAGGGGAAATTAGAAGCAAGAAGCTGTTCTTCCAAAGTAAAGGCGTGGCTAGACAAAGAAATCGGAAAACAGCAAAGCTGAGCGTGGAGCCGCAGTGAGGCAGGGCAGGGAAGATTGCTATGAACAGCTTGTGAGAAAGACTAGGAATGCAAACAGTTTGAACTCCTTTAGAAGCAGGAAAGCTGCCAGTGGCTCTGCAGGTCCATGAAGTAACAAAGGTCTAAGAGGGATGGCAAGGGCTGTAACTGCATAGCAGAAGGGTAAACTGAATTTATTGCATTAGTGATCAGCGTGGAAGTGCTTGAAGAGGCTCTCACCCTGGAACATGGGGCAGAGGATCCCTCATAAATCAAATCATTAGTTTGAGCATTTCTGAAATGCATCAGTAAAGCAGATAGTAATGAATCGCTGGGGCTACAGGGCGCCCACGTGGGCATCATGCAGGGGCTCAAGCACAGAACTGCTAACCCACAAGCATGCAGTCTGTTACCCATGCCCAGAGCCAGAAGGAATAGCTGAGGGCAATATCAGCTTGAAACAGCTGAAGCCACAGAATGATGAGCCTGACTTTCCTGCCTAGCAAATTGTTAAAAATTCAAATACAGGGTCTGACTTGTAGGTACATGGCTAAATGTGAAAACCAGGGGAGGAGGCAACACAGCTTTTGTAGAGAGAGATAACGCCTTGCCGATCTTTTAGGGGAATGAAGCTCTCAAAGGATAAAAGGGAAGGTACTCTCATAGGTAAATAACTCACTAAAAAATAGGAGACAAAGTGCAGATCATTCTTAATGGAAGAGAGTTACTCAGAGAAGGAAGAAAGTGGAGTTCTCCAACTGTCTGCACCTTTCAGCAAGTTCATAAATATCCTGCACAAGGAGAAGAGATAGTTTATAAAGTAGTTTATAAAAGACAAGATCCTTCAGCATTGGCAGCTTTAAAACTGGTTATAAAGTTTGGTTATAAAGTGGGTATAAACTATCTCCTGTTGCTCAGGCAATAAGAGTGGTGGATGAAATCACGTGTAAGTAGCACAAAATGCCACACACAAGCAAAACTGCTTCTGAGTAAAAATTGAATTATTGTTAGGAACTAGCTGGGAACAAATGGGGAACAAGCAGCAAGTGCCATCATGCAGCTGTGTAAGTGTGCAGAGCTTTCACAGCTAGCACCTGCCACTGCCCGGCACTTCTCGAAGAAGGGTGTAGCAGACTTGGGAGAAGTGCAGAAAGGTATCGAGTACAGTCACAAGAAAGGATATAGACACTTTCATGTGGGGAAAAAAGATGATTCGCAGAGGATATGAAAGGGAGGATATGAAATCAGGAGAGAAGGCAGATAAAAGAGATTCGCCAGTGCTTATAACAAAGAGGTGGCATCAAATGGGAACCAGAAGTTTTAAAACACCCAATAATGTAATAACATGGTGTGTGGTGAAACTGGTGCTTATTGCCCAGAGGACATAGGTGCCAGAAATAAAATAGGTTCAAGAGCCTAGATCAAGAGCTATCAAATGCAGAGATGCAAATATACTCTCTGGCTCAGGAAGTCCCTAAACCAGGGTTTCCAGAAGCTGAGGGTGCTCCTATGGGATGCAGCACCCTCCAGGTATGTGCTTACCTCACCCAGCTGCAAGGTGAGGCTGAGTCTTGGTCCATGGCCCCTGGAGAAGCTCCACTTGTGCAGGCAGTGCCATGCACTGGCATTACAGGGAATAACGCTGTCCATAGCCATTGCCAGGGCTCTGCAGATGATCCCGATGATGCTTGCATGATCTTGGAGTTTATCCTGCTTCCTTGAGCACCTTCACCACCTTTTCCTGGTGGGGTTTGCATAAAGATACATCCCTGGCTCTCTTGCCTGGGAGACTGTACCTGGGAGTTGTTTCACTGAAGAATCAATCCTCAAGCAATGCTGAATGGAACCTTTAAGGAGAAGTCAGACAACTAGCAGCGAGTTACAGCTAGATGGCTTCCTAAACCACCCTGGCGTGCACAGAACTGGTCCCAGAACAGCTAGATTACTCCCAGCACAGGCAGATGAAGTTTCTTGATTTCTCTCTCTGGGAAATCTCACCTCCTGCAGCATGTTGTCAGCATCTCCCCCTCTCCTCCATCCCCTACTCATCCTCTTAGCTATTTCCTTTCATGTCATGTCTTTGATCCTTACTACAGAGGGGAAAAGGGATTAAAGGGCAGAAAAAGACCTACCAGTAAAATATGGTATCCAGAGAACAAGACTTCTGTTGTATCCCTAAGGTGTGCTCCTTCAGTTCATTGCCCTGTGTGGGTCTCGATGGCCAGTTCAGCAGCTGAGGCTGTACCACCACTCCCAATCCAAGACCTTTTTATAACCTCTCTTTCTTTTTGGCTAACAGGGGACACTCACACAGGCATGATTTTCAGAAAAACATTTTAATAATGCTGTTTGGGTGCCTCAGGGCATCTGATCGCAGAGTGATCGAAGCTGTACAGTCTCTTTTGTGTTGCACATAAGCTGGTGTATGTGAGAAACAGTTGGCAATGGCTTATTCAATGTACCAGTGACACAAATGCCAGATATGCTCAAACTCTGTCTCCTGGTACTTTGGCCATGCTGCACATGTATGTATGTGTATACCACTGTGTCTGTGCATTTCCTTCTCAAAGCAGAATATCAGTTGTTTCTTTTCTTCCCATAGATTTAATTTTCACAGGTCCTGTTCCTCCAGCTGGTCATTTATAAAAAAGAAGAATTTGCTGACTGTTCTGGAAAGCTGTTTTGAATTGCTCTCTATGAATACCTGTATGCACATTTGTCTCCTTTTGATCTTGAGAACATTCAGGAAAAGGGATATGTGCAAAAATAATACCTGTATGCCTTTACTGGGCTACACTGGCCCTGCGTGATTGCCCTGGGCAGGCTTGAGAGATACCTGGGAAAAGGACTGTGGTGTGTGTATCAACACTTGGTCACTGAGAGAGAAAGGGCCTAACTGAAGCAGTAACTCAGGGTGCGCCATTTCTAGGCAGTTGCAGTATGCTGAATATTTCAAAGTGACCTGCTCAGCACTTGCCTGTTGACAGTTCATCAGGCAGAAGGGGCTGGTGAAGAGCATGAGCTGCAGTCCTTGCTGGCTGGGCCTGAGGGGTTGGCATTTATGGCCGAACACCACTCATTGGGTTTGGCTTGTTTGAGACTCACAAGCAATCTCTGCAACTTCTAGTACACTCTGAAATGCACGTGCCATCCCTCTCCTGCATGCACACAGCACTTGCAGTCTGCTTTTGTTGTGTGGAGTTTCTGTTGTTCGCTGTCCCTGATAGGTGCTGCCATGCCACTGTGAGAATACGAATTGGTGTTACATTCTGTTGCTACTGATTTTTTAAATGGCTGTACAGCTTTTCCTTGAAGAGCAAGCATCAAAAAGCCTCAAAAGCAAACATCTAGTACCAGTGTGAACTCTGAGGTGCACTGTGCTTAGCCTGTATCTTCTGAAATACTTAAAGACTAGCTTGACATTTTATCTTAACATTTTATTGTGCTTTAGCTTTCAGAAACAAACTGATTGGGGAGGTGGCCAGGAAAGTCCCTCCAAAATACTGTGAGAAACTTAGTGGCTTTCGCTGCAGCATCTGTTCTCTGTATTGCAGGGTCATGGCTGCAGAGCCTGGGAATGTTCAGCTAGGTGAGCATTTTTCTTTCTCCTTTTCTTTGAACGCAGGATCTGAAGAGGAGGTCCAGGATGTCCGTGAACACTCAGTTTAATAGAACACTGGCCTGCTTCCTTACTGGAGAGCTGGAGTGGACAAAGATGTTCAGTGTACCAGCCGTCGAGGAGCTCACATCTGGCTCTCTGCACAGCCCTGACCTGCACAGCCCATGCCAGGGTGCAGACTGTGAATAAGCACTTGTGGTCTCTTCACATGTTCCCCATTTGCGATGGTCACACAAACACGGTGCTGTGTTCTCCAGGTCCCCTTCTCCTTTGAAGGCAGAGGCAGACCATCTTCATCCTATAGCATCCATCTGTGTGGGCCAGCTGGCTCAGAGATCAGAGTTGGGAGTCACCAGCTGGAGAGCTCGCGCAGTGAGTGCAAGCTACTATTTCGGCATGTTCATGCCATGGAAGGTTTTGCTAAGCACTTCAAAAATAAACAAACCTTCAAGACCAAAAGCTGCAGAAATGACTTTCTGTGGCCTGGTAGCTCCTGACTTAATTTCCTCACTTGTCAAAAGCCAGACTTCTTAATTTAGCTTTTCCACTCTTATTTCAGACACAGGAACAAGCTATTCTCCATCTCATCACCCACAGGTCTGCCCTGCAAGGTGCTGCTTCTGGCTTTTTTGGAAACCAACAGCTCTCACCACTTTTGATCACTTCATTGTCCCTCAGCTGACGCCATCTCAGCCATTTGCTGGGTTTTGCCAGCAGCAGGTGAGGTGAAGACACAGGGACAAGATCAGTATTTCTGGGAAGGAGCTGGGTTAGACTCTTCCTGTTGCAGTGGGAAGAGCAATCTCATCTGGCAATGTGTACAAGTCTCTCACTTTCCTCCACCTGCTCTCAAGATAGGTGTGATGGCTGGCTCTGTTAAGAGCAACTCATTTGTTGAGCATATTTCAAACCTGAGATGCTCCCACATTTGCCTTGATGTGGCTCTTGCTTCTGTCCTTCCTCTCTCATTGCCTCAAGACAGAGCAAAATTCCCAGCAAAAGTATCCATAATAAGTGCTGAGCATCACCCAGCCTTAATTGTATTTCTAAGACACCTGAAATGATCCTGCAAAGAAATTTTTCAAAATACTCTGCTGGCTTTCCTAATATTTTTTGAATGGAGAGAGAAAACTTGATCAATCACTAAGTTCTTGGTTTATTACTAGGTTTTTTTCTCTCCCAGTTGCGGAGGGTTTTTTTTTAATGTCACTAGTTCTCATTTCCTACATCTCCTAATTTGGGGGCATTCAAGTAAAATAAAGCCTGCCCAAATGAAAAACTTACAGAATCTAATCAGTTTTCATTCAGCAGGGAATTCGAGTATTGATTTTATTGCCCTCAATGACCATTCAGGCCAAAGAATTGGGCAGATTCCCACATGAAGTGCCCATTTCTGTGGCACCCAGCGTTCCCAGAGTTAATACTCTGGGCACTGGTGAGGATGCAACACTGCAGCTGAAGGTAACTCCTGACAGTTTGAAACCCCATGTAGGGACAGACTGCTGAGTACTCAGTAACCTTTCTGTGTCTTTCTTTAAAGCAGCAGCTGCTTCTCCAGTACAAGAGAGAGTGTGGGTTATGTAGTTCCAGTTCAGGATGATCCTACCTCTGCCTTCCTTCATTGGTGAGAAAGGCTTTTTGTGGGGTTTGCTGCCCTTCTTTGAAAAAGGCATCTTTGTCCCAGCTGCTAATCAGTCACTGACATTCAAATGATCTGAAGTCAGGCAATAGCACTGTTTAAAACAAAACATTATTCCCTTGTTAATGTTCATTTCTTCTGTGACCAAACCACTGCAGGACCTTTCAGTCTAGGGAAGAGTTGAATTTCTTTCATCAAAGAAGCCAGGAGAACAATATTTTAATCTTTCGAGGCTCTTCTTGCTTGTCCTACAAAGCAGGCAGAAGACAGAAGCTCAGATTTCTTTCTCCCTTGCAGGGATGTCTGTCTTAAGCTAGAGGAAAAAACCAAAAACCAAAAACCAAACAACAAAACAGGAGCATATGTAGATTCTCCCTGTTCAGCTTCCTGTGCATGTTGTCCATGTCAACCAGCTCCCTACATCCGTGACCATCCTGGAGGACTCAGATGACTTCATAGGAAGGAGGGTTGCAAAGTCCAGGTGCTCCCACTGGTTTCTTTAACAGAAGGCTGCGAACCTCCAGGGGTGCATTTCACTGCCTCAAAGAATGGGCATCTAGTCTGCAGTCTAAAAGTCCTCCTCTTTCCCTCCTTATCCTTCAGAAAACAGAGGGCTTGGAACCTGCAGGAGGCCTCAAGCTGCTTGGAGAAAGTGGTCAGCACTAATGCACTCTTTCCACTCCCTACTGCAGTATTATAGGGCTGTGCAGGGCAATGCCTGCTTTTCCTTTCCTGTTTTCCTTTCCTGACATTATGCTGCTGCTCCTTTTCATACAGAAAGCCATTCTAGATTCTGAGCCGAATGAGAGCATGCAGGTCTGCCTCTGTGGGTTCTTGGATGGGAGGAGAGGGAGGAACTCTCCAGGAAGGTGGTTTTTAAGGTCCTCTTCAGTAGATGGACTTCCATCCTTGGCTGCCTGGAAGGGAAGAAGCAGTATCTGAGAAAAGGCTCCTTTCAGTTCCTGCCCCTGTCACTTCAGGGTGATGCATTCAAGTGCTCAGGACCCTTGGGCTCCGTCATGGAATTTCTTCAGCCTCACTGCAATGAAGCAGAGCTCGTTTTTCTTCATTGCCTCCAAAGTCCCACCTGAAAACCGATGGAAGCCAGAGCATCCCAAACTCCCTCTATCTTAACCCGAAGTGCAGCCATTCCCCAGGGACTGCCACCCTCCCAGGGCCTCCTACCCCACCGGGGTGGGTGCTGTGGCCCGGGCTGGCTGGACCTCCCCCCTTCCCACACAGAGCCTTTGCTCCGTTCTGTGATGTTCAGATCCTTTGGAAATGTGAATATAGGTTTGATTTTTGTCACTGGTTGTCATTTCCTGAGCCCGGCCTGGCTCTGGGGCTTGGGAATAAATTATGACACCACCCCTCCCCCCCCCCCCCAAAAAAAAAAGAGAAAGGAAAAAGGAAGAATACGTTTTATATCTATGCAAACTTGTGTATTTATGTCCGATAAAAGATGTGTGAATATGCTGATGTGCTCAGAAATATATTTATTTACTAATATATTTATCCACGTACCCGGTCTGCTCGCCTGCTTTTGTTCTTTGCACCGCGCTCCGTTGCCAAACCCCTCGACCCCCCCCCCCGCGCGGTGGCCCCGGCCGTGACCGGCGCTAGGACCGCCCGTCCTCCGCGCCCAGCCCCGCTCTGCGCCTGCGCGGGGCTCGCCGTGGCGGCATGGCGCTGGAGACCGTCCCCAAGGACCTGCGGCACCTCCGCGCCTGCCTGCTGTGCTCCCTCGTCAAGGTGCGGCCGGCGCTGGCACCGTGCTCCGCACCCCCTGCCCCGGCCCGGGCCCGGGCCCTGCTCCCCTCCTGCCGCCGGGCTGGGGCCTCTCTCGGCCCGCGGGCGTTTCTCCGTCCCGGGGCTCCCTCCCTTTACCCAGCCAGCTTTGCCTGGTTACTGCGGCCTGGCCCGGCGCAGCCCTCCCCTTCCCTCGCTCCGGCCCTTCCCGGTCCCGGCCAGGCCCCGCGCTGACGCCTCTGTCCCCTCAGACCATCGACCAGTTCGAGTACGACGGCTGCGACAACTGCGATGCGTACCTGCAGATGAAGGGCAACCGGGAGATGGTCTATGACTGTACCAGCTCCTCCTTCGACGGGTGAGTGGGCCCGACCCGTGGTCAGCGGGGTGTCACTCGGCTGCAGAGCGTCCTCTCACTCCTGTCCGTCCCACAGGATCATCGCGATGATGAGCCCTGAGGACAGCTGGGTCTCCAAGTGGCAGCGGATCAGTGAGTGGGTTTCTGGGGGCGGAGATCCCTTCTCCTCAGCAAACCCTTCTCTGGGGCAGCGGGAGTTGCTTTTGGGGCTGCAGAGGGTGTCTCTGCTCCCCATGAGGGGGCATCAGCGCTGTCAGAGGCTCCCAGGATGCTGCCCCACCTGGCTGCTGCCGTGCAGCTACCCCTCAGTGTTCTCTTTCCCCCAGGTAACTTCAAGCCGGGTGTGTACGCAGTGTCAGTGACCGGCCGGCTGCCTCAAGGTAACGCTGCAGCTCGTGTTATGGGGGAGGCTCCTGCGCAGGTGGCAGCTGAGGGATTGTTCTGTGCAGGAGGTGCTGGGGCTGTTGTTTTGAAGGTGTCAAACTGGGCAGAGCATTGTGCTGTGCTGTGTGACAAAATCAGGATGTTCAGTGAATACTGTGTATTGCAAACAGAGCACTTGCAGCGTGGGTGAAGGGATGAGCAAGGGTGCCACAAAGAGATGCTGAATGGGAGGTGCTCTCAGGGTTATGCAGGTGGGGTTTCTCCCAGCAGTCTTTCAGCACAACACCTGCCAGAAGCTGACATTAAAGATGCTGCTATCCCTGTGGTACCAGGGATAAACTGTGTGAAGGCTACATGACAGAGCAGCCGGATTTTTTCAGGGCTCTTCATCCCTATGGAATACTGAAGTGTGTTTTTCTCCTTGCTGCAGGGATCGTCAGAGAGCTGAAGAGCCGTGGCGTGGCTTACAAGTCCCGAGACACAGCTATAAAAACCTAAAGTGCTCTTGTGCTGCCTGGAGGATTCCCCAGATATGTTTGGAGTGGCACCAGGCATGTGGGGCACTGCTCCAAAACCTTTTAGCTTTAGCATGTGGGAAGGAGAGCCTGATGTGGAGGGAGCTTCCTGGCTCAGCTTCTCTCAGTACTTCTGGCCTCTGTTGTACCACTGTGGGCCCACACAGACTGTAGATATTTTCTTTGACCCTTGTCGAGGGGGATGGCATGAATGGGTCTGGGGAAGCAGTGCTTAATGGTGATGCACCAGATTTTTTACTGGTGGCATGGAAAAGAGAAGGGCTGGGATATAGCTGTGTTTATACTTCAATAAAATGCACTGTCTGCTCAGAGCTGAATCTCTAGTCACTAGTTTCACCCACTGCAGGGAGTGGGGGTTTCACACTCACCCCCTACACCTGCCAGACTGTTTGGAGTCTACAGTTGCCGTCACTTCTTACACCATGGATGACACTTCTGCCTGGGGAGGGAGATCCTGCCCTGGCTGAACTGCGGAGTGCCTCACTGTAGGAATGAGCAGACTAGTGGGTTGTGTCTTACAGCTCACTGCTGGATGGAGTAGGTAGATGATGCTAAGTATTTCATGTGTAGGTTATCTAGAGGTCTTGGCGCTCTGGGCCTGCGTGGTCTGGTGCAGGGGATGTGGAAGCCGGCTGATCACAAAGGACTCTGCCCTTAGATAAGCAATCTATATCAGTAGCTCTCTGAAATAATCTTTTCCCCCCTGAGATAATTCTGTAGCTGGAAAGCTCAATTTTGTTTTTTTTGTAGACAAATAGTGGAAAATCACTATCTGGTGAAATACAGTGGCTGGAATCAGATGGTGGAAGCACCATCTGATGTGGCATGAAAGCAGCTGCATCAAGGGAGCGTTGCTGTTGCAAAGTGAGTGTCAGCAGCACCGAGGTGATGTGTTCTCTGTCCTGCTGTGGTTTGTAGAGTTAGCCCAGAAAAGAGCCCCAAGCACTTGAACCCAGCTTCCTGCAGGGGTTTGGAGCAGATGTGTGGGTAGAGAAGACTGATGTGAACATAGGGATGCTGTGTGGGGTCACAGTGCTAGTTGAGACAAAAGACTGCAGGGAAAGATGCCTTAAACCACATTTCTCCTGGGGAGTTGCAGTGAAGAGTATTTGCTGGATGCAGACCAGGACTAAGTCAAGTTGGTGGTGGGCTTTTGAGGTCCAGCAGACATCTCCAGGAGCTGACTGCCTTTTGTGGAAGAACCAAGGGTGCTTATGCTCCTGGCCTGGGGGTTACAGTCTCCTCTGGGAAAG